AAAAAAATGCGTTTTCGCAAAAATCAGAAGTGGGATGACATGTTAAATTTTTTGGTACAAATGATGAGGCGCGTGTTTAAATTAGGCCCTCAATTTGTTGCTATTAAAATAGTGAGTTTAGTTTAAGTATAACTTCGAAGCCCGTTTGATGATCTGGATGAGTTCGCTCCGACACTGATGGCGAAACGGAGTTCAATGGACGAAATTTACCCACGGCCACAATCACACCGGTCAAAGCGCTAAACACCACAGATTTAAATCGATAAACAATAGAGCAGAACAAGATGTATATGTATACTAAATGTAGTTAGATACAAATAAGGAGCAGCACGAAAGATTCGTCTAAATTTATTGCGAAATGTAACCATGTTTCTAGCTTACTAATAGTAGAAATCAGATATAAAACAAAAATTATGTAGAGTAGAGAAGACAATAAATTATGACAGCATCGTAGTTGGCAACGTTTATCATTTATTAAAATTTCGAGTGTTGGACGAATTGTTGTGCCAGATCTGTGATTTATAGCACCATGAAAGACACCAACTATGTGAACATCGATACTGATTTTAGTCTGCCAACTCTGAAGATACACCTACGGTGAAACTAGTTAGATGAATAGCGCTGTCAAAAGATAAGTGCGCATAGTATTTAATCGTATTCTATCGTATATTTTATAAATCAGAGGATTGTGCGGATTCGCAAGAATGTGATACTAATCACAAATTTGAGCATTTTGGCGTGATGAAGTCACTTTCAACACGCCGAAACCTAGTGTTTAAAAATAAAAGAAATAAAAAGAAAAAATGCGTTTTCGCAAAAATCAGAAGTGGGATGACATGTTAAATTTTTTGGTACAAACGCTGAGGCGTGTTTTTAAATTACAACCTCGTTTTGTAGCTACTAAAGTGTTATCGAAAACCAAATCAATAGATTTGATTGTCGCAGGCTTTTTTGCTATAACAGAAACTAACATACTGTACATATGTATGTACATACCTATATCCCTATATATGTGATATAGCTGCATGTTTGTAATACAAGAGATACAGTGACTCGAACAATGAACACGTATTTTTTTTTTAATATTCGTAATATTTTTCCAGATCATTTTTTTTTTTTATTATTATTTTTATATAAAAATAGCATCTAATTAATCAAAACCGTGTAAATCACAGTTTCAAACTTTATACAAAGTTTAGGAAAATTCAACAAATTTTCATGAAAATTTCAACTTTTTATTCTGAATTTATAGGAAATTTATGGGTATGCAGTTTTATAGCCCATACAATTTTAGTCTAATGAAGTGCAAGTTTCAAACAGCTCAAAAATCACGTTGATTTTGAGTTTTTTTTTTTATGTTACTTTTTCGAGTAATGAAACATCTTAAAGAAATATATAATTAAAAGTAATTTAATAATATACATAATAAAAACGAGAGCATTGCGTACACACAGCTGAGTGTTAGCTTGTAAAATATGTACATACATATGTTATATGTATATTCTTACATTTCTTTGATTGCTATAATCGTAAAATTATAATTCTATTATTAAAAGTGAAATAATAACGAAGATATGGGTAAAAATGAAAAGTTCACGTTCACACTAACGTTGAAGTGTAGGTATATGTGCATATGTATAAAGCCAAAGCTATAAATGCGTATTCATATGTATTCCAGAATTCCGTTATGGCGCCGAATAAGAATAGTAAAGTTTGGAAGTATTTTTGCAAATTGGACGACAAAACAGCGAAGTGCCAACTGTGTCATAAAATTATGCGAACGGCTGGAAATACCACCAATCTAATGGGACACATAAAAAATGTCCACAAAGCAATTTTTTTTAGAACTAAAAACCACAATCGATGCCAGAAAAATATCCGATGTGGTCGAAGTGGTTGAAAGCCCAAAACACCACAAATGCTGAGCCATCTACATCAAATGCAGCACCAGCTGATTCGACATATGAAATTGTCAGTGATGGGGAATTGCCCGAGAAACGCCTTAAAACTCAAAAGTCTATAAAAAATAGTTTTGCTGAAATTTATTCATATACTTCTGCTGGTGACAAATCACGAAAAATAAACCATGCAATTTTATTTATGATTTGCAAGGACAACCAGCCATTTTCAGTAGTAGAAAATGAAGGATTCAAAAATTGAATTGAACATGTTTCAGTATTGGCGATTTCTACGCTATTGGACCCACGTTTCAAAAAAATACATTTTCATGATCCGTTAGCTTGCGCAGGTGCCATCCAAAAGATTAAAGATTTAATGAAAATTAGTCTCGACGAAAGTCATGGCGAATCAGACTCAGATAAATCGGACCAATTATCAGAAGATTGCATAAAAACTGGAAATCTAATAGAAACGAGGAAAGCGTTTCAGATGAGATATCCGTCTACTTAAGAGCAACAGTTGGTCGTTTAAATGAAAATCCGCTGGAAATTTGGGCGGATTTTAAACAGCAATTTCCAAAGTTGTTTCACATAGCTTATAAACATTTAACAATTGTAGCCAGTTCAGTACCTTCCGAAAGACTTTTTTCGAAGGCTTCTCAAGTGCTGAATCAACAGCGCAATAGATTGCAAGGAAAACGTGTTAACAAAATTTTATTTTTACAAAGTTTAGACAAAAACAACTGGGATTTGTAACTATTTAAATCAATAAATAAATTCCACTGTGAGTTAATACTTCAATATTTATTGAAATTCGTATCGTTTAATTTTCTGTTATATATTTTAATTTGAAACAAACTGTTGATATTTTAATCCGATGCATCGAAAACATCGATGTGAATCGATGCAACATTTCGATGCATCGTATCGAAAAAAATATCGATGTATTTTTTTGACTTGCATCCCTAGAATACACCACTTCCTGTTGGTTACTTCGGAGAGGATGCAGCTGGGTCACGAAACAAAATATATAAAAGCGACAGACTGCACCATGCACGTAAGACTAGCCGCATTGATAATCTTTTCGATGTATTTCATAGAGCTCTTGATCGGATCCATTAATTTCATCTCTTCGCTTAAATACACGTGTGCGCCAAAGCAAGCGTTTAACGCTGCCACCAGAACTAAAGGAATTATTGTATTGTGAGGATATCGGTGAAACATGTGCGACTGAGAATTTAGAAAATATGGATGACGACGAGGACGATTATCCAGAAGAACTTGAAGAGGAAAATACATTTTTGGATAATGAATTGTATTTAAATTAAAGAGTTTAATAAAATTTTAATATTTTCGAAAATACGTGTGTAAATCATATTTTCAATTTCCAGAAACAACATATTTACTCGAAGGTATCGTATATTTTCTCATTTAGAACTAAAAAAAAAATAAAAACTCAGAAAGAAAAGAAAAAAAAATTTTATGTAAATTTTTATTTTTTTTTTTTAATTCTAAATGTTGATAATTAAAAAAAAAAATTAATTATTGTATACAAAAACACTTAAAATATACGGCAAATTCAATTTCCAGTTAAAAATTCCGTTATTTTAAGTTTTAATAGTTTTGGCCAAGAAAAGTGATGTTTCCGACCATAGTGCACTGGTGCCCAAATGCAAAGAAACATCACAACTCAAAGGCACCAAAAAAACCAGTGTTATATAAGGAATCTAAATAGATAGTAACCAATTTGAGCGTTTAATGCGTTTTCGCATAAGTCAGAAGTGGGATAAAAGATTGCATTTAAGTAAAAAAAATCACGCATATAAAAAACTCATTCTGCAAATGTATAAAGAAGCTATTCACTACGGTATTTCATAACGAACCGGAGCCGGAATTATTAAATACCGAGCAAGAATAAAGTTTAATGGTAAGATTTTACTCCGACAAGCTAAAATAGATTGGCATACAAATTATTATTATTTATGATATTGTTCAAGTGGATTGCATAGCATTGGTCGAGCTAGCGATCGTGCATGCAGACAACTAAGTAATAAGGATTTGTTGTATTAGAGTTAGGTATATGTATTATAAGTATGTAGGATAAGTGATAATTTATGTAGTTAGAGTAAAAATTTATGTAATATATATATAAATAAAGGTTCTGGGAAACCAGAAGTTAAGTCTAGTGCGAAATTCTCTCCGGTTGTGTTATTTAAAGTATTCTAAATAATTTAAATAAAAATTTGTATGCAGTTTCGCATAAAACCTAAGGAGGATGTTAAGGTAAATTCGTTGATGCGACTTTTGATAGGTAACAATTGAACAAGACGTAATGTGATAGTCGGCGTCCAAGTAGAGAGAGATCTCCGCCATCATGGTGAGGTACTTTTAAACTCCCGCAACCAGCGAACAAGCGAACAAGTTTCATTTTAAGGTGTCAAAGTTTTGTAGTATTTTTTTTATTACCAAAGAATTTTTAAATTCTTATATTAATAAACAGATTAATAGGTTAATATATAAAAGTTTTAAATACTTTTGTATTCTTATTAACTATTAATCTTAATTGAACTCTTAAATAAAAGAATCTTCATATATGCGTTTTCGCACAAGTCAGAAGTGGGATAAAAGACTTAATTTATGTAAAAACAGCGCAATGTAAATATATATCAAAACCGGAAGTAAATATATATCAAAACCGGAAGTAAAATGCGTTTTCGCAAAAATCAGAAGTGGTATAAGAATTTAAATTTGGTGTAAAAAAAACATAAAATTTTTAATTATCTTCAGGTAGGTGGATGCGGCCAAGTGGACTTCAAATTATCTTCGAATATTTTTGAATATGTAGCCAGTTTAATGAAATGTCTGAAGAAATATGTATAACCGTTCACATAACATGCTGATGCCTACTGCCTGGAGCAGATTTCGTGGCCATAAGAGTAAAACAAGTAGATACAGGGAGGCTAAAAAATCTTTCAAGAAATAAATGTTCATAGCGGATATTGTAGGCGATGCTTTATACTGACTCTTAAACTTTTAAACTTTAGCTCTCTTAAATTCTTAACATGGGGCTGCGTTGTGTCGTTAGTGAAACAGTATTCACTAACTAATGCTTTGCGTTTTCGCAAAAATCAGAAGTGGGATGACAGGATAAATTAAATCGGGTATAGAATGAGGAAACTGTAATGATTCCTTGGTTAATGTAAAGTTCTTTTGAGTTAAATTTTTATTTCGATAGATTTCACAAATATTAATGGCGGAAATTGACAAACGATAACAATTTTTTTTTTTGTAATAACAATCAGATTTTTTTGGAAAAATAAACATCGAAAACCTCAGCAAACAAACAGTGAAATAAAAAGAAACAATTGCGTGTCCGCAAAAATCAGGTGTGGGGTAATAGACTAAATTTATTTGTATTCTTTTAAAGTATCAAAGTTTTGTAGCATTTTTTTATTATCATAGAAATCACACCACAACTTGGGGCTTATCAGAGAAATGAAAATGTATATAAACATGGTCTCTTTATTGAGATGAGTTCTCATTTGTTAAAGAAATTAGCAGTGACTTGGCAGTGACCAAGTTTAATTTTAAAGTGTTAAAGTTTTATAGTGAATTATAAATAAAAATTAAAAAAAAAGAAAGCTGCTTAAACGAGTATTGATAATATTCTATAGAACGAAGATAACCATTCTCTATAGAATCTAGGTTAGATACCCAGGCCTAAAAAGATCTAATAATAGAAAAAAGATGTTTTATAATTTTAAAGTATACATACATATGTATATATATTTTATTTTTAACAAAGAAGAAATGGTGTTGAAAAATTGGGCTTATCACATGAGGACGAATGATCAAAAAAGTGGGTTGTTAATAAATGAAAACTTAAGATAAACAAACAAAACCTGTGTTCGATAAAAAAAAAAAAAATAATCATCATGGAAACAAGGTGTATTAGAAGTGGGCGTGGTTGTTTGCCAATCACGCCCATTTTTGGTATTGTCGATACCTTTCATGAGAGTAATTTATTTGACAAGTTTCGTGAAGGTATATTATTATTATTTTTTTTTTTTAATTAACATTGGTATTTAAAAATTTTTAGTATAGGTCCAAGTGAGGTACCCCTAGGGAGTGGCCGATTTCAAATTTTATGAGGATAACTTATGCGCCAAGTTTCGTGAAGATATCTTCCTTTTTTGAGCTGAAATTAAAATTTGTATTTAATTTTTTTTTTTTTTTAGGTCCAAGGGAGGTAGGGGTTGACCGATTTCAACCATTTTTGGAATATTTCTTAACTTGCTCACATGTAACCTGTCTGACATGACCTAGGACCACTCTTTCTATTTTTTCAAAAAAAAAAAAA